TTTTTTTTTTTTTTTTTTTTTTTTGTCCTTCTTTTGAGACCGGCCACACCGCACTCAGCCAATGAGCGCTGTGAGCGCACCGGTCATCCCTATATAGGATCCGAACCCGCAGTGGGAGCGCTCCTGCGCTCCCACACTCCCAGCGCCACACTCTCCCGAGTGCGCCATGGGCTCAGCCCTATTGCCCTACTTTTCATTTGCATTTATCTTTGAAGTTGATTTAGTTATGTGAGCTGTTTCTTACCTTGCAAATTTGCTTGAAAAATATGAGCATCTTTTGGTCTTAAGTCTTTTCTGTGTGAAGGCTAGATTTTGGAGATAGTTCTGGCTTTTTTGCACCATTCTTTGGTGGCTGGTAGCTGTGGTATTGGCTGCAGTCCAAACAAAGGGACACTCGGTATTCCCGAGAGCCTCTCCCTTGTGTCCTGCCTTTTTCCTGCACAGTGAGCAGCCAGGAGGGTGTAGCCTGAGGCTCCTCCAGCCCCAGGCCCCTCGCCTAGGTCCTTCCTGCCCACACTGTCTTCCAAACCAAGGGATTGAGCAGGAAGCGCTGTCCAGAATGTCTCTCAGACTCAGCCCCCTGAAGACACCCACCCTCCCCCTACCAAGGGTTGGGCTGAGGCTGGTGTCACGGGGACAGTGCAAGAAAACAGGGCTCCCATGCCATGCCCACTGGCTGGTAATTGGGGCTGTGAGTGCTATCTGGAAGCTTGCCAGGAGGGGTGCTCCAGGGAACTGGAGACAGGGGCAGGGCCCGGCAAGTCAGTCATGCACGTGCACCTGGGGACTGGCATAGGTAGGCAGGGCTCAGTTGTGACCAGTCAGAAATATGGATTCTGTCCCAGAGGTGGCAGGGCCTGACTGGTGAGAACTGGGGGGTTGATTTTTGCTTGGTGGGACTCTTCTGGGACCATTCTCATGATTTGGGAAGGTGTACTGTTGACACCAAAGTGGTCCCAAGGAAGGCGATGTCCACTTGGGGCTCTGGCTCTTAGTTATATCAAATAGATAATACCCAAAGATGGAGGACTTGGAGCCTGAGGTGACTGACAGTGACGGCGGGAGGCTTAAGTGTTGTCCTAGTACTTTGCGGGGTCTTGCCAACCTACACCTCACAGCAAGACTAGGATGCGACCATGCTGCTAATAGCCCCTGTTTTCAGATGGGGAAATGGAAGCGCGGGACAGAAAAGCACCTGCTCCAGGTTCCACAGCTGACAAGGGCTTCAGACGCCAGGGCCTAAACCCCGTGCCAGGTTCTGTGTACGCTGGATCCCGTTCAGTCCCACCACAGCCCTGCCAGGGAGCCGTTATCACCCCCCTTTCNGTGGCAGGGCCTGACTGGTGAGAACTGGGGGGTTGATTTTTGCTTGGTGGGACTCTTCTGGAACCATTCTCATGATTTGGGAAGGTGTACTGTTGACACCAAAGTGGTCCCAAGGAAGGCGATGTCCACTTGGGGCTCTGGCTCTTGGTTATATCAAATAGATAATACCCAAAGATGGAGGACTTGGAGCCTGAGGTGACTGACAGTGACGGCGGGAGGCTTAAGTGTTGTCCTAGTACTTTGCGGGATCTTGCCAACCTACACCTCACAGCAAGACTAGGATGCGACCATGCTGCTAATAGCCCCTGTTTTCAGATGGGGAAATGGAAGCGCAGGACAGAAAAGCACCTGCTCCAGGTTCCACAGCTGACAAGGGCTTCAGACGCCAGGGCCTAAACCCCGTGCCAGGTTCTGTGCACGCTGGATCCCGTTCAGTCCCACCACAGCCCTGCCAGGGAGCCGTTATCACCCCCCTTTCCAGAAGAGAGACAGTTAGTGGCCAGGCAGGGTTCAGATCCATGTCTGTCTCAGGCTTCTTCACAATGGAGCAAGCACAAGTAAGAGTTTTTTTTTTTTTTAAAGTCAAACCCTGGGTTCTTGGACATTCATCTGTTGCTCAGTGTTTATTCCATGTAAACACTTTCACTGCTTAAGGAAATGATGACATTCATCATTTGTTTCATTAACTTGCTCTCTTTAAACATAGCAGTTTTGTCTATAATTTGCTGCCCAGTTGTGCTTGGTACCTGGTACCCATGTTCCAACCCACCCCCCCAAGCTGCTTAGACGATGGTGGGCCCAAACGTGCATTTTGTCAAACAGCCTAGCTGAATTCTGGAGTAATGTGGGCACATCATCTTGTAAAGGTTGTCACGGGAGAAGTAGACATAAGACCTACAGTAGAATGGGACATAAAAAATCTCATGGTTCTCATCTGTAAATATCCTGTTGCATACTCCTGAGTCATGCAAAGTAAAGTACGTTATCTTTCTCTTACTGTATTTATTATGCAGGTAAAAGTGTTCAAATATTGAAACTCACCCCAGAGTGAACAGTTGAGGGCATGTTTGCTCAGACTTTAGAGACAGGCAGTGACTGATACACAGGCAGAAGCCCTGACCACTGCTGACTGCACCCACCAGCCCCCCGTACACGCTCCGCTTTGCTGCCTTCATGGCCCGGGCCAGTATGTGTGGTGGTTGTCTGTCTGTCTCCCCAGTGTGAGTTCCGTGTGGGTAGGAACCTCGCCCGTCATGTTCTTTGAATGCCAGGTCCGCAACAGATACTTGGCCAGTGTTTGCTGAGCCAATGGACGTTGTCAATGGCGGGATGCAGGTGCAGAGAGCAGCAGTCACCTCCCCCTCTGACCTCAGGAAGGCATGGCTCCTCCAGTCTTCCCGTTTTCTTGGTCTTTCCTTCTCCCTCACCTCTCCTGACTCTACTGCTTTCTGTCCCCAGCCTGCCCTTAAGTTTGCCCATCCCAATAAACCTGGGTATGTGATAGTGAGTGAGCCGTGCATGGGAGACCCAGTTCTGCCCACCCCACTCTGTAATGAAAACTAATCACTGGAGAGAGAATCTATAACACATGGTTTCTGCATTTTCTGAGCCAGAAACATGACCATCTGTTTGTTTGTTTATTTATTTAGGGTGGGGGAGGGGAGGCTGGCTGGTACAGGGAATGATCATGTAGTAATTTAAGTTGGTTGTTCCTAAATTGGGTCATCTTAATGTAAATTAAAGCTATAAGGTGGGCCGACATCCAAGTTAAATAACATATTTTATTGGCAAGTCCATGGCATGGGGAAGCAGGCATTTTCCTAACACTGCTGGTGGGAATACAGAATAGTACAACCCCTGTGGAGGGGAATTTGGCAATAGCTAACAAAATTGCATCTGCATTTACTCTTTGTCAGAGCATTCTACTTCTAGGAATTTATCCCAGAGATAGCACTAGTAAAAATATGGAAGACACAGTTCACTGTGGCTCTATTTGAAGTAGCAAAGGATTTTAAACACAGAATTCCTTTTGTAAGGCTGTGGTTGAACAGACTGGACTTCTGAACAGTGGAGTACTGTGCTGCTGAAAGAAAGAATAATTCTGGAAGCTGTATGTTGCTCAGGAGTTATCGCTGGGACATATAATTAAGTAAAAAAGCAGGGGTGAAGAAAAGTGTCTATGGCATGCTACAGTTTATAAAAGGGGGAATATAGAAATGTACATGTGTTTGCAAGTATCTTAAAAATGGATGGGTAAAACATATTTCTTTTTTTTTTAAAGATACTTATGGGAACCAGTATAGAGGGGAGAGATGTAAAGGGTAGACTTCTGAATATACCTTGTTTTGTAGATTTGACTTTGGAACTATATGTATATTTTATATCATTATAAAACAAAATTAAGTAAAAGGTCATGACCTTTGAAACTTTGATAGACTTTGTCAAGTTTTTCTCTAGGAATTTTGTACCCTGCTTACCCTCCTATCAATATGTGAGAACTCCTTTTCTCCCACACCTTTGTCAACACTGGATTATCTTTTAAAACTTTGCTGATTCAGCAGGTGAAAAATAGATCGCTGTTTTCATTAACATTTCCTCATGACTACAGAGATTGAGCAGCTTTTCATTTGCTTATTATTAGCCATTTCGTATTTCTTCTGTGAAATGCAAGTTCATACCCTTTTTTTTTTTTTGGTCAGGAAGAGTTTTTCAACTGGTTTATAAAAACTCTTTGTATATTGTGGACATCATTTTCATTTGTTCTGTATTACCAGGCTCACGGCTTCATTTCCAGTTAAGTTGTTCAGACCCTGACTGTAGTGGCTGCTTGTTATTCTACTGTCTTACAAGAACATTTGTGTGTGATACATGCTCACATTGTTATTCTACAGTGACTGGGCCAGACTTCCCTAAACCACTCACGTGCTGGACGTCAGTTTGTGGGCTCTCTGGAGCAATAGCTACTGCGTTTTCCTGGGCTTTCTTCTCCTTTTTAAAAAATGTCCTAGGGCTTATTACTGTGTCTAAGTAAGTAGTTGTAAACGTGTACTTATGTTACTGGTGATGAATACGTAAACTAAATTTGATGGTCTTTTTGGTTTGAGATTGTGCTTGATTTTTAGTGACTTGTGACAACAATTTTTGTGTACTGTTCAGTGTGAATCCTGAACAGAATGGTAACTTTTCACTATATATATGAGAGGGCTGTGTGCTTTTAGCTTTGCACGCCTCCCCCGCAGACGTAGCTCTTCAAACTTTTCGTAGCTGTTGGCACTTGCCCTTGTCCATGGATGTGTTGAACGTGTTTCTTGTCCTTTCTCTAGGTCATCACTCCATGTAGGAAGCTCATCTTGTGTGCTGATAACAGAAAAGAGATGGAAGATTGGATTGCAGCACTGAAGACTATCCAGAACAGGGAGCATTTTGAGGTTAAAAAGGAAAAAGCATCCCTCTACAGATGCCTGTTTTTACCTCTGTTGCCCTCGCCCTAGCGTCCTGCCATCTGGGTATCTGCACGTTCTGGAGCTCACCTTCTCAGCACGTTCCTCGTAAAACTAAGGCTTGTTGCTCGTCCCATTGGCAGACCTGTCAGACTATGACCCTGTTCTTTATAAACCTCCTCCACTCCTCTCTTGGATGCTTTATTTAATCCTGTTCGTGTTTCAGAGGGACGTCTTATCTCTCCATCTTTATTTCATTCTCTCAGCCTACCCAGTACAGCATGGACCATTTCTCAGGGATGCACAACTGGTACGCCTGTTCCCACGCGCGGCCGACCTATTGCAACGTGTGCCGGGAGGCCCTGTCTGGGGTCACATCCCACGGGCTGTCCTGTGAGGGTAAGAAGGACGAGCATGTTATTTTGTTGGGAAAGCTGGCCTGAGATTTTACTTGGTAAAGACTTAGAAATCCAAATGCAGACCCCATAAGTAAGCCGTAGCCACCCGTGTAGTCCGTCAACGAAAAACTCACTTCTATGACTCTATTCTTGTTTCTTTGCCTACTGCAGAGTATAATCATTTTTTATAGTTCTTGAACACAGTGAGAAGAAGGCAAGAGGTAGTGAGGTGGAACAAAGAGGAAGCACAGGGAACACAGAGGGCAGGACATTTAAAAATACCTGTTGGCCTCATTGTAATTACACTCCCCTATCTTGGTAAATTGGGTTGTGGCTACCATGGAATGAAAATGTCTTACAGACCTTGAGGTCAAGGCTGCAGTGTTTGGGCAAGGGTGTCCAGCCTGGGGCAGGAACAGTGGGCTAGAGTAGGGAGTGCAAGCTATAGCTTGTGGCCAGACCCTGCCTGCTGCCTGGCTTTGCACAGCTTGCGAGCTTAAGACTGGCTTTCACACTTGTAAATGGTTGAAAACAATCAAAAGAATAATATTTTGCGACATGAAAATTATATGAAATTCACTGTCCATAAAAAAGTACAGGTGCTTCTCCATTTATAGTGGGGTTACGTCCAGATAAAGTCCTCATAAAGTTGAAAAATTGCAAGTCGGCCCACCGTAAGTCAGAGGCCGCATGCATTGTCTGTGGTTGCCTCTGTGCCACAGCGGCGGAGCTGAGTAATGACTGACAACATATGCAGCCTGCAAAACCTGTAGGGTTCACCCCCTGGCCCATTAGGAAGAGTTTGCTGAGTCCTGGCTGCAGCTGATGTCTGGTGTCACTTCTGTCTGCTCTGCTGTCATCAGCCTCAAGGCGGCTCACAGTAGAGCCCACAGAGTGGGAGGTGCTGTTTATTCCTTCCCCAGCTTTCCTAGACAGGACAGTCCACACAGCATGTCTGCTCAGCATGAAGCTTGTAGGTTCACGTGTTCCTTCTCTTACAGTGTGCAAATTTAAGGCCCACAAACGGTGTGCTGTGCGCGCAACCAATAACTGCAAGTGGACCACGCTGGCCTCGATCGGAAAGGACATCATTGAGGACGAGGATGGGGTATGTGCAAGGGGACCCTGCCATGGTGCTCTGAGCAGGGCTGCTGACCTGCACAGCCACTCCTCGTCCTGAACCTCTTCTCTGCCCTCCCCTGCCACTCCATATAAGTTGGCCATGCTGTGGATGGTATTTGGGGGTTCCATGTGGTTGCTGCACCCCCAAGCTCTATCCTGATCCCTGTGAGTCTTTTTGTGCCCCTGGCAGGAACTGTGGTGTAGACGGCACTTGACAGGCCCTGCCCCCACTGCCCCTCACTTGCCACCAGGGAAGGAGCTTGTTTTGGGAAGAGTATCTTGGCTGAGTTCTCAATGAGTGTTTTTGCTCCAGAGCTCCTGCCTGGCCTGGTAGCCTGAGCTCTGGGGACATCCCTAGCATGCGTCTCTGCTTGGTTCGCAGATTGCCATGCCCCACCAGTGGCTGGAAGGAAACCTGCCTGTGAGCGCCAAGTGCACAGTGTGTGACAAGACCTGTGGCAGCGTGCTGCGCCTGCAGGACTGGCGCTGCCTCTGGTGCAAGGCCATGGTGAGTGGGCTGCCTGCCCGCTCCTGCCGCGGTTTGGTGGAGACAGGCCGTTCTCCATGGTGCCACACAGGCCCATACCTTTATGTCTCGTGCTGTGGCTTCATCCTCCTGAATCTGAGTGAATTCACCCCAAAGGCCTTTCCAGTTCTGGGAGTCTGTTTTTTGGACTGTCTGGTGACCTGACTTTCCCTTTTCTGTCTGGTCATTCTCATTCTTGACTTTTTTTTTAAGTGTGTGTTTCTCTTGAATATAGTCCTGCATTTTAGATGCATGTAAATGTGTCTTCATAACAGATGTCACAGCTGCGTCATACGGCATGCAGCCATGTTGTGGCAGGGCAGCGACCGCTTCTGCGGTATGGAAGCAGAAAGCTCTAGAGGCTCTTCTGAGAGGCTTGTGCTGGGCCACATTCAGTGATGACAGCAGCCTGTGGAGCCTCTCACCCAGTTCTGGGCGTAGTCACAGCCTGTGGGGGGAGATGCGTCCCCAAGGAGAGGCAAGTGGAGCCTGGCACAGGTGGCCACTCAAAGGCACGTTGCCTCCAGAGCCCAATCTGGTCCTGGAAATCGAAGTCAGTGGTGGCTAAAGGGGCCTGAAGGGTCAGGAACAGGACTTTAGGCCACACGGTGTGAGCCATGACTGGGTCTCCTCCAGCATTTCTGTGTCATGCCTTTTCAAGTGCAAAACCAGGACATGGGCACGTTGACGGGAGTGGGACAGCTGGCTCTGAGTGCACCCACCTCCTGCAGTGGCTTGTTTGTTATGTGAAGGATGTTTGTTATGTGAAGGATGTGGGGACACCTGGTGACACATGGGCTCTTGTTGCAGGTTCACACGTCATGTAAAGAATCCTTAGTGACCAAGTGCCCACTCGGCCTGTGTAAGGTGTCAGTCATCCCTCCCACGGCCCTCAACAGCATTGACTCGGACGGTGGGTGCCATGCGCATGCCATTCTCTGCCATCTCTGCATGCCTGCGTCCCCGTGTGTGCTCCCCTCTCCAGCTCTACAGTCAGACAGCTTGGTGAGCTGTGGCCAGCGAGAGGCCAGGCACAGCCCAGGGGCACGGTGTTGGTGCACGGTTTTCCAGTAGTTGCCATTAGACACATGCAAAGCTGGAGGCCAGCTCTGCTTGTGAAGGTGACAGGCACAGTTGGCCATCGACTGTGCAGTTGGAAGCCAAGTCTAAGGCCTTTGCATCTGCCGTGGGGCTGCGCCTGTCTCTGTCTGGGGCAGACACTGGCACATTGGCTTGGGGTTGCTCTCGTGTGTCCGGCTGGCGCGTGTGATATGTGTTGACAAGTACTGGTGGGAGGGGGGACGGCAGAGTATGTGTCCCAGAGGAAATCAGCTCCAGCAGATTGGGGCAGAAGACGAGAAGCAGTGAGGTGAAATTTAGAGTCTTCATGAACGTGAAGTCGGATGGGATGGGCCTGCTCCTTACATGTGAGGAACTGTGGTCGCTAATCTCTTGTGACTTCCTGGGCGTGCACATGTGAGGTGTGTGTCCCTTGGGGTGTCTGCTGCTGCTTATTCAATCAACAGTGCCCTCAGTGTCTTCTGTGGCTTGTAAATTTTCTTCTGTTCTGACACCCAGGCTTCTGGAAGGCCACCTGTCCTCCGTCTTGCACAAGCCCACTGTTGGTCTTCGTCAATTCAAAAAGTGGGGACAACCAGGGTGTGAAGTTCCTCAGAAGATTCAAACAGCTGCTGAACCCTGCCCAGGTCTTTGACCTCATGAATGGAGGACCACACCTTGGGTAAGAAGCTTATAAAATGTATCTTTCTTGGAGTTTCTTAAATTTTGTAGAAAGTATGTGCTTATTAAACAAAGACCAAAGATACAGGTATTTTTAAGAAAGGAAAGTTGTCCTTCTTGAACTGCCGCCTCCCCAAATTGTACTCATAGAGGTGCCCACCCTTACTGTATAGGGGTGTGTGCAGCTGGCTGGTGGCTCACTTGGGTAGAGTGTGGTGCTGATAACACCAAGGCCAAGAGTTTGGATCCCCTGACCAGCCAGCTGCCGAAAACAGAAAGACAGACAAGAAAAAGTAGAGGTGCGTAGGCTTCCAGCTTTAACAGCTTTTACACAAAGTCGGGCCCTGTCCTACCTGTTGTCGATTTCCATGTCTGCCAGCATATGACAGTGTGGGTGTGTTTTATGTTGGTGGTTCCAGATCGGCCTCATTCTTTTTGACGGCTGCTTAGTAGTGAGGAAGATGCTTTTCTCCAGTGAGGCCAGAAGGCAGCTTTTTCCTACTGGGAGGCACGAGAGCCTCAGCTTGCAGGTGCCATGAGGCAGGGACCTGTGAGGGCCCAGATGCAGCAGAGGAATTACACTCTGCATCTGCTTGCTGGAGAGCCAGGTTCTCTTTGGTTTTGTACATCGTATAGTTTTGTAGAAAGCTGCTTCTGTAAAATTTGCCATTTGAACTAATTTGGAAGTGCTAATTCAAGATAGGAGCTCTGTGAGGCCTCTCCAGTGTTTCAGGGAGATCTCCAGGATATTTGTAGGGACAGTGCTTGTGGAACCTGTCGTCTGGTGTGTATCTTGCGGGGAGGAATCAAGGACGTGTTGTTTTGGGAGCATATGCCGCTGCGATGTGAGCCTGGCCTGACTAGCTGCGTGTCCTTGGATGATGTGCCCGGGTTGGGGAGGGCCGTGCTACTCTTCATTCCTGGAGCGCTGCTCCTTTGGTGTCTCGTGTGTGGATTTTCTCTCAAGTGTGTTTCCTCAAAAGCAGCACTCTCCGAACTTCTGCAGGTAGACTTCTTATCTGAATGATGCAGGATCATGTTCATCACTAGGTTGACAAATAAGTTTAGTTAAAAAGTGGGGAAGTGGAGGTATCACACATCCCTTGTCATGATACTCCGAGCAGGCTCGGGTTGTTATTCATCGTGGTATCAGGGATGTCAGGTGGGTGCTTTGAAGTGGCTCTGGGCAGGGGAGGCTACACAGCAGAACTTGAAAATAGTAAATTAGTAGTGTTAGCAAGCACGCAGCCCTCGGTAAGATGAGACAACTTCCGAAGCCTCCAGAGGCGTAACGGGTGAATGGAGCCACTTGCTGCTTCTGGGAGCACCTGATCTCACACAGCTCATCACAGGACCAAGGCCCCCGCTGCCACCTTCCTCCTCCCAGCTGTCCTTAGTGCCTCTTCTCCAGAGAGCCGGGGCCTCACGGATGTCAGTGTCCTCTAAGGAATGTATGTGGCCCTTTCTCTCGGATCTTGAAGGTCAGGTGCAGCCTTGTTGCTCAGAACTTCTCCTCTGTTCATACCCCAAGTTTAGTGCCACGTCACCCGTCCCCACTTGTTGTCTTTTTTTTTTTTGGCGGCTGGCTGGTTTGAACCCTGGCCCTTGGTGGTATTATCACCATGCTCGGATCAACTGAACTAACCTGTCAGCCCTCTGCTTGTCTTCTGAGTCCCCACTCTGGGTCAGGCTCTGAGCTCTGGGTGGGGCATACAAGGTCAGCAGCTGGGGGTGTGGACGTGGATGTCAGGATCCCACGGCGGGGTAATCTGACAGCTCGGTGGGGCGACTTAAGATTCTTTGGCACCCAGAGAGGGGATGTATAAATCACACTGGGGTCTCAGTCTCTCCGCTGGGCTAGAATCTGAGGAGAGCTGAGAGGGAGGAGGGGGCCCTCCGGGCAGAGGGCACCACAGGTGCAGAGACAAAGGCAGGAGAGGACATGGGGTGGGGGGAAGGGGACTGGGCTGAGCCACGGGAGCGGCAGGTGTCAGGGCAGAAAGGCGGGCAGCTGCAGGTCAGTGAGGGCTGCAGGTGGTGGCTGAGAGGTCTGACCTTTTCCTTTGAATGAGGGGCAACCTCTTAAAGCGAGACACTTGATGAGACTTATGTTTCTGAAATATCTCCTTGGGAGCCCAAATGGGAGGTGTCTGGAGAGACACGAGGTAGGTCGGGAGGCTCCTGTAGGACTCTACAGACTCGATGGTGGCCTGAACTCAGCCGTGGCTTAGTGGGCTGGGCCGGGCCACAGGCTGGGAGGGGGAGGGTTTGGGCTGCGAGCTTGCTGGTGGTGCTGCTGTTCTCTGAGGAGGGATGTGTCCTGTTGGAGGCAGTGCGTTCTGCTGGACAGGTGCAGGTGTCGGGCTTCAGGAGCAACCTGGGGGTGTTGATTCAAGGTCATCAGCACCTGTGTGGTCCTTGAAGCCAGAATGTGGACAAGGTCACACAGGAAGAAGGTGAGGAGTGAGCAGACAGTGGCAGTGGCGGTCCGAGTGGGGACACTGCTTGGGAGGGGCAGGGTGATTGGGAGGAGCCCAGGAAGGAGGCTGAGAAGGAGTTACGAGGGGAGGAGGTGTAGGTCATGTCTCCTGGAGGATTGGGTGGCCTGGGGCATTGGTGCTGCAGAACGGACAGGTAAAGCTGAGCAGATCTGTCTGGGGCTCCTGAGTGACCAGAGCGAGTGCCAGGCAGAAACCTGGCTGTGCAGCCTGGAGGGTGGGTGGGTGTAGGAGCTGAGGGTGCAAGGCTGCCCAGAGGACATGGTGGGAATGGTCAGCAGGAGCAGTGTGTGAATGGGGCAGTTGAGGGACAGTGACATAGGGTGGGCCGTGTGGGCAGTGGCCTGGGCTGTGGAAGTCTGTGCCCGTGCACCTGGGCAGGAGCTGGCATCTGAGCGAGATGAGATGTTGTTGGTGCACTGTTGAGTCTGCTTCATCTGCCAAAGATCCAGCAGCTTACCAGGGCTGAGTTATCTCATGCCTGGGTGGACTGTGGCCCTGGTTGGAGGGGTTGGCTGGGCCCTAGTGCTGCTGTCATCCACCTTGACACAATGGGCCATGAGTGGAGGGGCCATGCAGACAGCCAATGCCACGTGGCAGAGCCTTGCACACCTGGGCTCGACCGCTGATGCACAAGCAGCCATGAGGAGCAGGTGGCTCCTTTGGCCCAGGCTGGACAAGCCAATCATTTGTCCTATAGAATGCACGTCATTACACTGACTGTTTTCTCTGCAGCTTACGGTTATTCCAGAAGTTTGACACGTTTCGGATTCTGGTTTGTGGTGGGGATGGCAGTGTTGGCTGGGTCCTCTCTGAAATCGACAGCCTCAACCTTCACAAACAGGTACCTGGATGGGAGGGAGACCAGCCCAGGGGAGAGGGGTGCCCAGGTCAGCTCCTGATCTCGGAGCGTCTGTTCTCTGGTGGGACCAGACATTGGAGGTTGTGCAGGTCGTGGCAAGGAGGAGAGCAGAGGAGAGGGGGCAGCCCGATGGCGTTGGAGGACCAGGGGAACCAGCTGTGACGTATGGATTGGAATTTCACAGTTGGTAGTAAAGGCAGCTACAGAAACAGAAGTCCACAAACTCCTAGCTGAGGAAGCAAGTCTGGCTGGGGCTGTCGTCCCTCCTGTGCCCCTGCCAGCTCTTTCCTGGGTAGTGATGTGATTGATTGCCTGATGCCTCTTGCTTGTGAGGAGGGGGCTTCTCAAGTCAGTTATGATTCATTGAACCTAGATTTTTGTATTAAAATAAAAATAGATTTCCCTGATCGTATATTTTAAAAAGTGTTCATTATATTCATTGAGTTTTCACTCTTAGCCACCCCTTCGTCAGGTAATTAGCCATGGCTAATACTTTAGTGACTATATTTCAGACTTCTCTCCATCAAAATACATATATTGTAATGTATAATGCAGTTTTAATTTAAATGGACTCAAGTTACCCATGCTGTTCTGTTAGTGTTTTAAAAATCAACAGTTGGGCCGGCCTGGTGGCGCACTGCTACAGTGCGCCGCTTGGGAAGCGCGGCGGCGCTCCCGCCGAGGGTTCGGATCCCACATACAGACCGGCCGCTCACTGGCTGAGCAAGGTGCGGGAGCAACACCGAGGGTTGCGATTCCGTTGCCGGTCCCGGTCCGGTATGGGCGCGACACTGAGGGTTGCGATCCGTTGCCGGTCACGAAGAAAGACAAAAAGGAAAAAAAAAATCAACAGTATGTGTGGATACCTTCCACTCTACACCAATAAGTGAAGATCTGTGTGATAGCTTTTTTTTTTTTTTTCTTTTTGTCTTTTTTCATGTCCGGCCACGGATCCCAACCCTCAGTGTCGCGCCCGTACCAGACCGGGATCGCAACCCTCAGTGTCGCGCCCGTACCAGACCGGGATCGCAACCCTCGGTGTTGCTCCCACACCTCGCTCAGCCAGTGAGCGGCCAGTCTGTATGTGGGATCCGAACCCTCGGCGGGAGCGCCGCCGCGCTTCCCAAGCGGCGCACTGTAGCAGTGCGCCACCGGGCCGGCCGAATTTTATTTTCAATTACAATCATAATCCTGGGACCTAAAGCATACTACTTTTTAAAATCTACTTTTATTCAGGTTGCCATTCTAATTGCTACTTAAAATTATTTATCTTAGGCAAAATATAAATCAGAAAAAAATACAAGACTTATCAATAAAAAATTCTAACACTAATACGTATGGATTGTTTT